GGAAGTGAATGTTACGTTTTATTTAATTTTAATTAATTTAAGTTTAAATAGCCACATAGGGCCAGTGGGGCTACAGAATTGAATAGTACAGGTCTCATAGATGGGCCAAGCATAAACCAGTTATGAATAAGCTAGTATAGGGATCCTAGCTAAGATAGTCAAAGGAGAGTTTCTTCTTTTTCTTCTTCTTCTTTTTTTTTAAAGTTTTAACTTTTTAAAGTAATCTCTACACCCAATGTGGGGCTGGAACTCGTGACCTGGATATAAAGAATCACATGCTCTTCTGACTGAGCCAGCCAGGCACCCCTCAAAGGAGAGTTTCTGTTTCCGAATTCCCAGGAGCCGTTCAGATGAGACTGGTCTAAAGAGTTTTGAGTGGCTGGAGCTATTTTCATACCCCCTTTTACTGTGGTCTGATCTTATTAATGTTCCTGTTCTTAGATTTCTGTAAGATTGCATCTCCCTTGTACTGCCCTGATGCTGGTTTTTCAGCTTTTCCGAGTTCTTAATTAAACAAGTGAAATGAGTCTTTTCCGAGTGACTTTGCTGTGACTAAATTGATTAGTTGGCTCAGAATACTCTAAAGTCCTCTCCCTTGGGAAGAACCAAATTTTACCGTGAAGACCTTGACAGATTTACCAGCTTTACTCAACACCTCTTGGGGTGGCTGCCAAGTTCACAACCCTTTTTCCTCTCTGGGAAGACACCCAGACACACAGGGATAGGTCCTCAGTGACCATATTTAAGCCACAAGATCTTGTCATCTTCTCTACAGAGGAGTGGTTCAAAAACTTTCACATGGTTCTGAATCAGCGGGAGGACTTTTTAAAACATAGATTGTGGGACCCATCCCTGCAGTTTCTTTTCCAGTAGGTCTGTGGTTGGGACCCAAGCATTTGCATTTGTAACAAGTTCTCAGGTGATACTGATGCTGCAGGTCTGGGGCCCCACACTTTAGGAACCACTGCTGGAGATAATTACCTCAGGGACAGTCACCCTGAGATAGGGCTATCAGCTTCTCTCAGGAATTTGTGACTTGGAACAAAGAGATGTGGAGACTGAGGGCTGTTAGAGCAGCGCTCTGGAGAGAAGTTCCAAAAACTATCACTGTTTCTTCTCTGAGCTGGTAGGTGGAGCCTTAGTTACTTAATCCTTTCACTTAATCCTATTACTTTCATTATTTTCCATAAACTGGCCATAGAAAAGTTTCTCTTGCCTGCCCCTAAAAGAACTTGAACTTTAGACACAAGTATTAGACCCAAGAACTTGTGTCTTTAGATACAAGAACTTAGAACTTGAACTACGACACAAATATATCAGTTATGGGTTCCACCAGAAAAACAAAAACCATTCTAAGTATTTAAAACAGACATAATACAGTACAGGGAATTGGTCATGGGGTGATAGAAAGTCTGAGAAGCCAAACAGGCAATGAGAGATTAGCAACAGCAGGAAGCCCCCTCTGCCCCTAGGCTGGAGGGACAAGGGGAGAAGGTGGCATTAACAGAGGCTGAGGTGAACTGGAAGAAGCTGGAACCACAGTGGACCAGCCCAACGTGGGAAATGCTGCTGCCCTTGCCAGAAACATCACCCAGTGGTGGAGAAGTGGAAGTGGAGAAATACCCTGGGCTCACGCTTGCTCTTGCTTCCAACCTCTCAGCAGGGCCTCTCTCCACTCAGGAGCCGGGGGCAGATGGCCTGTGATAGTGACGACAGCTTGGGGCAGTGGGGAAGGACAAGGCATGGATCTGAAAACAAGCCAAGGCCAAGCACTGTTCAATTTGGATTTCTCATTTTTTTTTCCCAAAGTACATTTTGCCTACTTACAATTTAGTGAGATAATATGTGCTTGCTATATAATTTCTAATAGTTTCTTGTTAAGAACAAATTTTTTAAAAATTAGCTTTTTACTGTTTCATAATTACGGTTGACATTTGAGATAATCTTCAGGGGAAAACTGCACATGATAACAAGAATCAGCATCTGAATTTTCAATGGCAGAAATGTTCGTATTTGTCTCATCTAATTTAATGCTCAAAAACCTTGTGAAGTAGGTTTTGTTGTTAACTCCATTTGAAGAATAAGAAAGTCGAGGCTCAGAGGGAGTAAGCAACACAGAATAAGCAAAGTCACATTGCTCAAAAGTGGTAAAATGGCATGATCCCAAACCTGGGCTCAGCACATAACCTCAATTGTTGCAAAATACCAAGCTATTGTGTGAAAACACATGCAAAGCTACAAACTTAAAATTCTTTCTCTGTTTATATCTCATTTCCTCCCTTATCTAAAGCCCAAGGTGTAGAGTAAAACCTTGTAACCAGAACTGAGAGAGGTTATTTTTGAAAGATCAGCAAAATACCCTAAGACACCTTCCCCCTCCTCCACCTGTAGATGGTCAATTAAATCTATTCTCAGTAGTCCCACAGTTCCCTAATTAATAGGCAACGATTATGGGGCAAGACGGGGTCTTTCATAAGATCATTCTAGAATAACAGCAATCATTTAAAAAAGAAAAGAAAAAAGGCAAAGAAACCCTTTGAGCATGTAAATTAAGCTAGACAGAGTGGGTGTTTTTGATGTCTCATGAGACTATTTAGTCACTTAGAATTAAATACAAACACACACAATGAGTGTATATGAATGTATGTGCATGCGTCTCATAGAGAGGAAGAGAGAGACAGTTCCCTTCTGTCTCGATAGAAGTTGTTAATCTCCCTCTGGTCCCACATCCACAGACTGCCTTTCTGCTGCTGAAGAGCCATCTTTGTTTCCCCTGGTTACCAATGAAACCATGTGCAGGGATCAGTTCAAATCCATCACCACTTACAGAAAAATGCTTCCAAATATAACACCTTACTTTCTGTATGTTATCGACATATCTATTGAATAGGAAGGACAGCTCACATGTGCGCATCCACACATTTTTGTGCTTAGAGTCTACCGTATACGATGTCTTTTACATATGGAAAGGAGCTGTGTAACATGGCACATCCCTATAACATTAATTGCTATAGAGAGTGGAATTTTTTTCTGCAGGCAGGCTCCATCCTCTCCTTCATTGCTGAAGACCCAAGAGAAATTGCTGTAAAGTGATTTGTCCTATAAAGTTACTCCTTGGAGTGCACCTCAATAATATACTTTTATCTATAAGGATAAGCCCTGCCTTATAGAGTCTCCACATCCAATTTATTGACTCAATAAATTTCAGGCTTACTGATTATGTTTCCATCTAAAAGCTTTACACAGTTATAAAACTGGAGAGCCTTTAGAATCATTTCAGGTCAAGTTTCTTTCTGAATATTTTTCCACAATGAGCTGCAATACATTAAGCCTACCCATTAACTAGAATATCACCCGTTATACTCTTGATCTGATGGCCAAGGGAACATTTGCATTGTCTGGGTTCCATTTAACACAATATTTGAAATGGATAGAGTAGCTCAGAACATTCAAAGTTATCTTCCTTCACTGGAGAAAAATGTGTATGGTCTGTAAGGAATAGGCTTGTTAAAAGAAAATCAGAATTCAGCACTAAAACTCCTCTCTCAGCAAAACAAAGCATCTCTCTCTCTCCCCTGAGATCTTCAACCAGTTCTGTGAATATTTTTCTCTTGAACCCAAGTTAGTGTTGCATAATGAAATGAAAAAATAAGAGTGATAAGCTTTCCACCAATAATTAGGTGGAGTTGTTTGAAATCTTAATCATGAACTTTTTTGTACAGTCTTCTAGAGATTTTGCTAGTGGAAATAAGGGTGTGAGCTGATCCTTATTTGTGATTGAGATACATCAAGTACCATTATCATTTACCTTTACAACTGGAGTAACTAGATGCATTGATTTCTTTTATTCACTTAAAAAGACACCTGGAGATTTGCTCTCAGTGTTAATTTTTGATAATACTTGGTATTCATTGAATAATGAAAAATGTCACGGTAAAATTTTACATACGAAAATAAAATCTTCCTAAAGGGTCAGAACTCTGCTACACACCTTTTGCTTACCTTTAACTCAACATTTGACTGTATTAAGATCACAGCATTCTCGAACAGCACGATGTTGCTTGGTTTAGGTCATTTAAAAAAAAATACTTGAGAGAAAGGTATGGGAAATGAGGGGAGAGTGTTGTGGATTTAAAAGTACACGTGTATATATGTGTCGTTTATTAAAACTTCAGACAAGGACGTCGTCTTCCTGGGAGTTGAGAGCGTCAGGGCGGGAAGTCAGCTGCAGGGAAGAACAAAAGCATGGCTGCGCGACAGTACTATCTCTGCAGCAGCAGCAGGCTCCCTGATGGAGGGTTGCAGCGACTGCCTGTTACGCCGCCTTTTTACTAGTGACAGCCTCCGTTATTCTGTCAGCTCAGCCAACTAAGCTGTTCCCTGCGTTCTGGTTGGTCACCCGGACTCCGTTAAATGGGAGAAGGAAAGAGGACAGAAAGATGAATTGTACTAAGTGGGGCACACAGGGATTTCTCTTCTTCGGGGCCGGCATCGCCTCATCCTCGGGGACGTGGGGGAATTCCAGGGCGGCTTTTAACCCAGAAACCAGTGCGTCCTATTAATTAGTTTCTACGCGCAAGGACGGCAGTGAAAGGCTTAATCTTCTCTTTCCAGCTGGGGCCAAGAGCCGGGTTGATCAGAACTGCCTGGCCCGTGCGCACCAGCGCCGGACCCCTGGTGGCCCTCAGAGCCCGCACTGGGCAGAGTGGAGGTCAAGTCAAAGGGCACGACGGCAGGGTGCCCTCCCCCCACATCCCCCGCCCGCGCTGTCCGCAGCTCGGCTTCTTGAACGACCACCGCTAACACTGCAAGGCTGGAGGGCGGGGAGGGGGCGGGTCCCGGCGGGGGCGGGACCAAAGGGAGGGGACGAAGCGGCCGAGGAATATTTCGGGAAGTGTAGTTCTTCGAACCCCAGTTAGCGTAGCTACCCGTCTGTGCTTGGGAGACCCAGACTACAACTCCCAGGGGTGTGCGGGCCCGGCTGGGGAGTCCATGCGCAGTGGGCGCCACATTGTATCCTATCAGGCGAGGAGAGGGTGATGTCACCTGCGAGTTGGTAACCTACGAGCGGCTGTGAAGGAAACTGTTTAACCGGATCCCATTGTACCCGGAGCGCAGAGCCGCCTTTCCAGCATGCAGGGGCTGCTCAGGTAAGGGGGACGTGCCGCCTCGCCCGCCGCACTCATTCATTAAGTAGCACCGCGCGGTGGCGCCGGGGTGGGCGCGCTTCTTCGGGCCCGGCGCTGGGTTCGCGGCTCGCCCTCCCGCTGCCTTTCCTGAGCCCCAGGGCCAGTAGGTAAATATTAAACCCGTCCTTCAGGTTGGGTATGGGTGGGAAAGGGACCTAGACAGCTCCCGGCTGCCAAGCTGGGTTTGGGAAAATGGCTGCAAGCGCGGCGAAAAGCAAGGCGAGCCCGGAGGAAGGCGCCCCCGAGGACAGGGGTCCCTCCCTCCTTTCTTTCTGTGGCGCTAGGATGCCAAAAGAGCAGGCAGGGTACCACTCGCCGCCTTGCTGTGGGCTCCCGAGGCTGCGGCGTTGGGGTGCCGGGGCGTCGTGGCCTCGGCTGGGGGCCCTGCCTCGGTAGGGAGCTGCTGGTCCGGGAGGCTCCGAGGCAGGCGTGGTGGACTCGGAGGCGGCGACAGGGAAGGAGGGACTCGTTTAGCCGCCGGCCCGCGTCCGAGCAGAACCCCAAACATCCTTGCAGCCCTCACTTCAAGCTTTATTCGAAAGGGACGGGGTGACTGTAATTCCAAGAAAGTTGGAAGCTAAAGGTCTCACAGGAGACGAGGGAAACCCGCGCTGCGGAAGGAGCATGGGGGTGTTGGCGGACAGCAGTGAGTGGAGGCTGCGCCGCCTGCGGAGCGGGTTTGAGGCGCCGCAGAGCGCTCCCGCCTCTCTGCCTGGGAAAGGTGCATCTTGGTTCCCCCTGCTCTGATTGCTCCCTCCACACAGAGCACCTGAGCGGGGGCGAAGCATCTGCCCGGAGCCCTGGGCTGGGAGGTGGTAAGGCGGTGCGGGGTGTCGAATAATCAGATGATAAGGCTCGCTGTGAGGCAGGAGGGCTGGGCAATAGGCACCAGCTGGTGTCGAAAATCCAACCGCTCGTGATGGGCTTGCCCTTGTACTTGAGACGCGCTCGAGGCCCGAGAACTCCATAAAGTCCTCTGGATTTCCTTTCCCTAGCACTCTCATTCTTTCGTATACTCATTCATTCATCAAACCCTGCGAATGGCTCTTATCAAGTTGCTCACGGCCTGGCGTTGGGGTGTTGTGTTCCCTCACCACCCCCCCCCCAAATATTTTAGTGGGCCCAGGAATAGACACCTACGCTTTCTTTCCTCCAACTCGGTCCCCCACCCCATCTCCACCAGCAGGAGAGCATCAACAAGAGCAAATGCTACCCGTGACCGTTTTGCTCTCATTGAGTTGGTAGTTGCTTGAGCCTGGAGAAGGACCCAGTGAATTGAAGCGGAGTTTGTCTGCAAGATGAATCCCGTTGCCATGGCGACTCCTGTCGTCGGAATCTTAACTGCTCCCACTGCTGTTTCAATTCGATGTGGCTCTGCGGGCAGCTGGGAGGGCGTGGCCAGTAGGTGTGGTCAAATGCTCGTTCCGGGCCCAGCTGCTCTCTCTCCTTCACCCGTTTCACGGCCCAGGCCTCTCGCCACTCTCTTAGAAGTAGCTTGGACACAGTTCAAGACCCCTTTTCCTCTCGTGTGCCCGTACCTGAACTCTCCCCCTCTCCGGAAGTCATAGTTTGGAGCCTTTTTCCTGAGGCAAGCTCTGAAAACTACAATGGAATGATCTTTGCCTTTCAGGCTAGATGCATACTGTTCCTAATAACATACCTGACAGTGTTAGAGGCAGCTTTCTCAAGGAGGGCGTGTCCTCTGTTTTGCATGAAGAGAGCTCTCTGGCCACCAGTAAAGGGCCTCAATTTGCTCTAGGTGCAGCTCTCTGAAAGTTTATAGGGACAATTAATGACTGAAATTGAATTATGGAAGTCAGTATCATCCCTTGTGGTTCTCATAAAATCTAAAAGCCCGCCACCTGCCTGAGGGATGCAGGTCCTTGAGAATGAAGCAGATTGGGCAGGGATCTAGGAGGCCTGGGTCCTGCTGGGACTCTGTCATTGCTGGTTACCCCACCCTGGGGTTAACCTTTTACCTCAGGGGACCTTGGTCAGTAGTAATGTGGGGGAGGGATAGAGAGCGTTTCCCAAAGTTGATTCGCGGTATAGAATCTTGTGACTCTACAAGGACTTGGTCATTGTCTTTTCTCAAAATAATCTGAAGATGAGTTAAATTCAGCTTCTGACACTGTGGCTTTGGGTTAATATCTCTTTGGGTTAATATTACTTGTATGCTTTGACTGGCAAAATAGCCTGGCTCCTCGTGGCAGTCCTTCAAAGTGGGCAAGGCAGCCATAATCCTCTTTATAATAACATTTCTTTTTTCTTTAAACATTTTTAAAAAAGATTTTATTTATTTATTTGACACAGAGAGACACAGCGAGAAAGGGAACACAAGCAGGGGGAGTGGGAGAGGGAGAAGCAGGTTTCCCGCCCAGCAGGGAGCCCGATTCGGGGCTCGGTCCCAGGACTCTGGGATCAAGACCTGAGCCCAAGGCAGTCCTGGGATCAAGACCTGAGCCCAAGGCAGACGCTTAACGACTGAGCCACCCAGGCGCCCCTATAAAAATATTTCTAATATTACTAGTATTATCCCTCTATCTGGACTTCTCTTTATCCTTGTGTCTTAGAATTGTTTAGGTTTTGCTTTTTTATAGATTCTTGATGAATGCAGTTATTTGTAATTTAATTGCATTAAGTATAATTGAATTACACAAATATTTTGTTTACCTTCTACTTTTATTACATACCAAGGTGGATTATCACAGATATTGCAGTTAAGGGGGAAAAGGCTATATCTGTGAGTGTCTATGCATGTGCATTTGTGCTCAGGTAAATGCTTGGGGATGCTGAGTGCCAGGTGGTTGACAATCATCATCTTGTTTTAAGTAGGTGTTTACATCCTCATGAGGAAACAGAATCAGAAATTGTCACTCACTCTTTGTTTTTGTCCTAGAACTTATCATTGACTGAAAATCTCCTTCAATTAATCAATTTTTCTTGTGTCTCTATAATTCTGACAGTTCTAATGTGTGGCTTTTTTTTTCCCACTCCCCTAAGGTCTTTGAGGGCAGGGTCTTTGTCTTGTCCTTCCCTGTCTCTCTAGCAATTAGTGTTTGATCACTGGCAGGTATTTAATAAATATTTGTTGAGTCAATAGTAGAACCATGATTGGAGATTCAAGATTGCATTCTTTCCATTGATAGTTCTGGCATCAGTTGTAATATTCCTGTAGCTTTCTGTGAAGTAGTTTCATCACAGCATAAATGAAAACTCCCATGTAGCACATAACTTGAAGTATAAAAGGCCTCCCGTGTGTTTGAAATAGATGTATTTTGTAATCATTTGTTGTTTGTTTTTTTTTTAAGATTTTATTTGTTTTTTGACAGAGAGAGAGACAGCGAGAGAGGGAACACAAGCAGGGGGAGTGGGAGAGGGAGAAACAGGCTTCCCGCTGAGCGAGGAGCCTGATGTGGGGCTCGATCCCAGGACCCTGGGATCATGACCTGAGCTGAAGGCAGACGCCCAACGACTGAGCCACCCAGGTGCCCTTGTAATCATTTGTTTTTGGAATACATTCACTCACTTAGACTTTTTTTTTTCTTAAAATTCTTGTTACAGTTCTTAATACAATTCTTATTACCCCAAAGCAGATACTTCTGTATTTCTAGATTTCTCTTGTACTATCCTTGACCCAGACACTTTCCCAGGAGGTGTATGACAGAAGAGACACACACACAGGCACACACAGACACACCAAGGGAAAGATAACTAGAGGCTTTTGCCAGGCCACCTCTGGTACCTGAGGCACCAGTTGGGTAGAGGAGGTGGGCAATGGCTCTCTCATCTGGGGTGGAGTTTACCCAAAAACAGGATCAGTTGTCCCATGTGGCTAATGTGAGAGAAGAAATGGGGGTAGGAAACATTTGTCCAATATTTGTAACATTCCGTTATCAGTAGTCAGATTCTGTGGGTTTTTAGAAGTATAAATTAGTAAGGAGGTGCGATACTAGCGAGAGTGCAGTGGGTCATGTCCTTGGGTGGTGCTTACAGGAGCTTAGTGAGTAGGTGCCAAGGAATTTGAATCCTGGCTTTCTTGCTCTGTGGATAGGCTCTGGGTGTTAAGAATGCCTGTGTGTCTGTGTGTGGTTTTATTTGAGCTACTTTGTTTAAAAGGCTGCTTTTAGTGTTGGTACTGTGGTCATCAGAACAAATAAGGTGTTTACAAACAAAACGAGGTTAAGATTGAAAGTGTTTCATTGTGTAAATATTTTGGGGATGTTATAAAGAGTGGCTTTGGCTTGAGAATCTTGAGGTCTTCTGTGAAATCACTTAAAAAGTTACAGCTGTTGGATCAGGGGAAACAAGCTTTCCAACAAAGCTTGGTACCACTGAGAGCCTTAGGTGTTTGGTTCAGGAAAATAATCACAGAGCTTGTAACTTCTGTGGGGCCCTCCCTGGCTTCATCTCATGCTCCTGGTATTTCCAAGTTTTAAGGCTCTCCTTCTATTGCAGGAAACAAAGCAACTTTGCCAATTTAGGTTAGCAAACTCGTTTAAATTCTAGAGAGGGCACAGTCAAAACGGAAATTTTTCTATTCTGTGAATTTTTTTCTTCTCCGAATAAGGGATGTGGACTACTGTCACTTATTTTGGCATTACGATTTCTAACTTGGTAATGGAGGAAATCTTCCAAGTGAGTTATGTATCCTAAACACTCACAGAATCTGTTCTTGGTGATTTTCCCGAGAGCTGTTTAGAGGTAACTGATTGCATAGGTACTGTTTAAGAAATCGATAAGGAGGGCAGTTTCTCTATGTGGCTTGGGGGTATCATCTGGTCGGTGGAGCAGGCTGGGGTGGAGGATACCTCCTTTGAGGTTATATTCGCTTAGCAAGTATACTGTCTTTTTCTGTAGATTGTGTTTAGAGTGGCTGAGGGCAGCTGATAGAGATCTGAAGTGCCTCCCTGCCCCTCTGGTTCCTCCAAGCCACCACTTAGTACCCCCACTGAAAGGGA